TCCCCCAGTTCGTATGCATGGTTCTGTAAAGGTTTGAAAAAAGTGTCTGAAAGTCTTATCACCAAAAAATTCATGGGCTAACTGTAACATCTCGCAAATTGAAAGAACTAGAAAGAGATAGAATTAGAAAGAGTAATTTTTGGAAATAATAAAAAATCTGGAAAATTGGTTAAGTTTGAGTTTTTTAGTCAACTTCAAACGACCATAACTCCTAGATCAGGATGAGTTAGGTGTGTTTCCAGATATCTTAGAAAAGATCTTGGAATGATCTTTCCAACGCCGCCGAGTTTGCGCGATTCCAAGTTCGTATGAGTAAGTTATGCCCATTGAAAGTTGGGTTGTTCAAACGAGGAAAGTCCAATCAGTATTTTAGAAGGGCATTATTGTCTTTTCACCACCCAATTAAGATAATTTGTTTTTAGCAATTAAATTGGGGTTCAGTTTAGACAATTGAAAATTTACACTAGGGTTTTTGGAGAAAGAATGCAAGAGGAGAAAAGAAGAGAAAGAGCAAAGTTCGTCGTTCTTGAAGGTTTAGCTTGTGGATTTCGACAAGGGTTGATCCCTAAAGAGGTATGTGAGTCTTTCATAGCGTTGAGTTCGTTCATCCTCGCGCCAATCACGTTTATTTCAGCGAAGTTCGTTCTTGAAAGTTGATGAATCTTGAATGGTGTTCTTAAATTTGTTTTTCGTTCTTGAATTGGGCTGAATTGAGAAGTTTCTGAGATCTTTACGTCGAGTTTTAGAGTTGTTTTGAGTTAGGTTCATGGGTACATATGCTGGGTATCTGAATCTAAAGAAAAATTGAGATGAATAGTCGAGTTTAGGTGAATTGGAACTGTAAAATGAAAGAAGGAAAAAATCGAGCAAATCTGGAGCCCTTGTCCGCGTCGCGGACGTGTCCCAAAATTTTGCAAAAAGTCTCTTCGCGGAGCGGAGCGGTCACAGACCGTTCTGCCTCAAAAATTATTTTCGCGACCAAAATTTAAATATACCTCCACGTCGCGGACTAGTTTCCAGGCAGTGATTTCTTGATCATTTCTCATGTTTAGCTATCTAAAATCATTCCTAAACATCATGAGATCTTTCCTATCACAAATCTCAATCCTTGAATACATAATTCAATTCAAAGAAAGTTAAGAGTCAAGTAAATAGAAGTTAAGAGTCAAGTCAAGAGAAGTCAAGAGTCAAGTTAAGAGGAGTTCATAAAGTTTTCCAAAAGTCTTTTACAAATGTTTTAACTTTGTTTTAAGACTTGAGTTTGGAGTTGAGTAAAGAGTAAAGTTTGAAGTTCATTTCTTCAAAAGAGTATATCGGGACTCTGTATTCCCAAAGAGTAAATGTTTTCACATTTAAAGAAGAAAGAAAATCTTGATTTCCAAAAGAGCCTTTGATCTAGTTTTCAGTAAAAAGTAAAGTTCATTCTTCAAAGATTATATGGGAACTAAGTATTCCCAAGAGTTAAAATGTTTTCACATTTGAGCAAGAAAGGAAACTGAGATTTCCAAGAAGAGCTTTTAAGCTAAGTTTTTGAGTAATTATCTCAAACCAAAGAAAGAGTTTTGTTTTTACAAACATATGAGCTTAGTATATTTTGAGAGTAGTATTGAGCACCGATATAGGGACGAGTTTGAGTTCAGATAACTCACGTCTCCATAAACCATGTAGCCATCATGGGTAGTAAAAGATCATACCCTTTAGATGACTCCTTAAGATTCTTTTAGCATAGACTAGTGGATCCACTTAGTTAAGGCGTTCTATATGACGGCAAAGTACATGACAGTTCTGGCTGCGTGGGCAAGACGTTGTATCACCACTTAGGCTCATAGTGGTGGTTGTCGGTTAAAGAAACTCCCACAAAAAACTATATTACTTTGATATATGAGTTAGGTTGAGTTTGTTATAGCATATCTTTAACAAATTGAGTTGTTATTTAATGTTCTAAATGCTTTGTATAAATTGCACTATTATTGTTATTTTACACTGCATTTTGAGTTAAGTTATTTATGAGTTGAGTAAAGCCAAGGTAAGTGTTCCTTTCAGACTCTTTTCAAGCTTAAGTTATGTTTATCATTCCAACTCGTATATTCGTACATTTAATGTACTGATGCCAGAGTGCTTGCATCGTCTTATGATGCAGACGCAGGTAACCAGGATCAACATCCAGCGCCTCGTTGATTAGGTTGAGCACTCAGAGTCAGTTGGTGAGCCTCATCGCTTTTCGGAGGGTCCTTTTCATAGTTGTTTAGCTTTTCACTTGTTAGGATGATCGAGGGTCTTCTCCCGACATCCCTCTTTGTTTTAGAGGCTTCATAGACAATTAGTAGTTCAGTTGTCTTTACATTATCATTTCATATGTTAAGACTTGAGTTGCCATTTTGGCCAAGTTGAATATTGACTTTTAAATATTCTAAGTTATTTTATTTAACAATTGAGTAAGTGCATTTGATCATTGTAATAGTGCTTAGAGTCTTTCCGCTGAGTAAGTAAGTCAGGCCAAGGGTTCGCTTGGGCCAGCAATGGTTCTCGAGTGTCGGTCACACCCCGGGTGTAGGCTCGGGGCGTGACACTAACACACACGTAAAACTTAGAAAATCATCTAACTCCTATATATTATTTGTCCCTTAAATGCTAAAAAAATTGGTGTAGATCACGGTGATGCTATGGGAATTTTTCCTCAGGTTCTTACACATGGTTTTGTAAAGGTTTTGAAAAAGAGTGTATGAAAGTCAATCAAAAAATTCATGGGCTAACACACACGAAAAACTTAGAAAATTGTCTAATTCATATTGAGTGACCCCTAAATGTTAAAAAATAATGTGGATTATGGTGAGGCTATAAGGATTATTCCTGAGGTGCTTCTAGATGGTATTATAAAGATTTTGAAAAAAAATTGTCCGGAAGCCATATCACCAAGAAATCTATGGGCTAAGACACATGAAAAATTGAGAAATTTGTCTTATTCATATTGAGTGGCACTTAAATGCGAAAAAAGTGTTGTGGATCATGGTGAGGCTATATGAATTGTTCCACAGGTCCTTACGGATGGTTTTGTAAAGGTTTTGGGGAAAAATATCTAGAAGTCATATCACCAATAAATTCATGTGCTAACATATAAAAAAGTAAAAAATTTGTCTAATTCCTATTGAGTGGCCCCTAAATGCTAAAAAAGGTGGTGTGGATCAGGGTGAGGCTATAGAAATTGTTCCTTAGGTCCTTACGGATGGTTCTGTAAATGTTTTGGAAAAAAGTGCTTGACAGTCATATCACCAAAAAATTCATAGGCTAACACACACAAAAAAAATGAGAAAATCGCCTATTTTTTGTTGAGTGACCTAATTACAAAAAAATGTGACATGGATCATGGTGAGACTATAAATATTGTTCTCCAGGTCTTTATGGATGGTTTCGTACAGACTCTGAAAAAAAGTGTGTGATAGCCATATCACCAAAAAGTGTGTGTGTATATATATATAATTGAACAAAAGCGAATCTGAATGAGTATACTTAGGCGTGGAGCAGTCCGAGTCTTTTCTTCAGGATTTGTTCCTGCGCATCTCCTTACTTTATAGCAGTTATTGCTCTGGTTACAGAAGGTATAGCTCTCGCCTCAACTTTTTCTTTGAAATCGGAGACTGTCCCAATTTCCAAATGAGATAGACAAGTGGAGGGAGAACTAGACGTATATTTCTAGACAAAGATAGGTTGAAATGGATAGCTTGCGAATGGGATTGATGGGATAGATCCCTATTGCAAAAGGAGGTAGGAGATAGAACCGGGGGAAGAATTATGGCTATATAGGTCCTCTAGCTCTGCCCCTAATTCCAACAACCACAAAAGGAGAAATAAGATTCTTATTCTTCTTTATTTACTGTTCTTTTGTTAATGAGTGAAAAGATTCTCCATATTTAAGAAGATATCTCAAATGAACCTTTATGTACAAATGAACCATCCAAAATGTTTCAATTTCTACTAGCTACAAGTTATGAACATTTTGTATACTAAGTTTTGACTTAATTATGTAAACACACACACACACAATTCTTAATAAACAACTGGTAGATAAGGTACAAAACAAGTAACTCAAAAGCATCCAATCGAGTTTACAAAAAACATACAAATGAAAGGTAATTAACATGCAACAAGAAGTTTTCTCCTGGCAAAATTTGAATATTTAAGCAAAGGAGAAACTGAATTATTGTACAATTTTAATGCACTAACTAAACTATGGGTGTGCTCGAGAATAGTTCAAAATCATGACAAATTCTTGGGCAGAAGCTCCAACTTTTGCTAAATTTTTTCCAGAGTTAGGTCCTACACGTAACCACAATTCTGCTAGATTTTTGAGAGAAAAAGTAGGTTGAATTTGCATTCCTAACATGCGAATCTCCACCTACAAGACAATTTATTATGATTTAAATTAATAATCAGGTGTCAAGCAAAAGGTAGATAATAAGTAGTTAATTACCTCGTCTTCACTCTGGAGACTCAATTTGTGTGCAAGGTACTTCTTTATGTAGGAAGACGACTTGTTCACATCCCTATTTAACCAGAAAAGAAGTATAACATATTCATTGAAGTTAAAAAGTATTTTGGAAAGTAAAAAGATGTATATGGTATGAAAGAAAATAAAAAATCG